TGCTGAGAAGTGCATAATAAATGCTTCTCATTAGAAACATGTGCATGTTTGAAAAATTTGGTCTCATTGAACTTATTTGGGCAAGAATATATTTAGGTTCGTTCGACCAAATTTAGTTTATGCAGTATTCTTTTTCAAACCGAAAGCCTATCATTGTACTGCAGAATATATAAATAATATTCATTGATAATATATATATATATATACATATATATATATATAACATATATAACAAAATATATATATATATAACAGAAACTAATTTATAAATTATATAGTCTCATTTTCGTATCCTTTTACTGCAGTTAATTCTGGTATTCCAGTATTTTACCATTTTTTGTCTTAAAACCATCTGCACTATATTGTATCTTTTATATTTCTCTTTTGACATGTACCTTATATTTTAATACTGAATGAGAAACCAGTTGGTAAGCTATATGTGTTAAAGCGCTCCACTTACTGGTATAAGTCTCTTGTCACTTACACCGCACTAATAATTTTACCATTTAAATTCAGGTCACATTTGATTAATATTCGGATTTTGAGTGTTTGGTTACTTCATTTGCATATTTTATGTGCTTGGCCCGCCTGATCCATGCTTTTCTTATTTATTTATTTGATTTTGTGACTGTTCCGTAACCATCAATGGGTTTTTTTTGTGGCACACACAGAACATTGAATCACAATACAAATGAAACAGCTTGTTTATTGCCCCATCCGGGCCAAGACTTTGATAATGTGCAATTTAAAAACGGGTTTTGGCCGTCTTTCACTTTTGAAAGACGGCCATCTTGCTATTCGTAGTCCTGGGGGGCCGGCATCATGCCCCGCCTACTGGGTGGGCTGAGCGGCTATATCGCGCAAGAAGCCACGTGATCTCGTGGCTCTCTGTCTGACGCTGCAGACATTGAAGCAGGCAGTCTGAGGAGGATGGAGGCAAGAGGGAGAGAAAGCCAAGACCTCAGCCGGACACTACAGCAAATAAAAGGTGGAGGCTGGGGCAGCAATGTCCCAAGGGGGCCACTTAAAAGTCCCAAGGGGAGGTGGCCACCTAAGGGGGGGCCACACATCAAAGGTCAAAATGGGCAACTTAAAAGTCCCAAGGGGAGGGGGCCACTTAAAAGTCCCAAAGGGGCCACTTAAAAGTCCCAAGGAGAGGGGGCCACTAAAAAGTCAAAGATCCAAAGGGGTCCACACATGAGAGGCCTAAGGGGGGCCACACATGAGAAGCCTAAGGGGGGCCACACATGAGAAGCCTAAGGGGGCCACACATCAGAGGTCCAAAGGGGCCTCTTCAAAGGTCCAAGGGGGCCACACGTGAGAGGCCCGAGGGGGCCAAACATGAGAGGCCTAAATGGGCCACATCAAGGTCCAAGAGGCACAGGCTCAGGGACCACAATAAAGGCCTAAGGAGGTCACAGCCCAGGTCCAAGGGGCCACAGTAAAGACCTAAGGAGGCCACAGCTAAAGGGTCCACAGCCGAGGCCCAAGGGGTCCACAGCCCAGGCCCAAGGGGTCCACAGCTCAAGCCCAAAGGAATACAGCCAAGCCGAGAGAAGGAGGCCCAGATGTGAGCAGTGGACCAACCAACTGCTTGCCAGTGGTCTGCCTTAATCCACCAGCCACACTGGTCTGTTAAACTTGCCACCAGCAACTCAGCTGCAAAGGAAATATAGTTTATTTGATATATGGTTTTAAGAAAAAAAAAAGTGGTATAAAATGATATCCACTAGTAAGTCCAGTACATGCAGTTAAGCAGTGAGTGGGATAAAAAGTGTTACCCTTCCGTTGGAGGGAAGATCATTCTTCAAGCCGCAATAGTCATGGTGGAACCAAAGGGACGCTGTTGCCCTCAAACCGCTAAAAATTACTGCTGGTACCGGAGAAATGAATATGAATGGAAGCTTGATCTTCAGTTCATCAGTGTGTTTCGCCTGTACTTGTTTGGCTTTCTCAAGATGTTTACACTGTTTCAGCTGCTCCAACGGAAAGGCAGGGCCGCCATCAGAAATTTTGGGGCCCCTGACAAAGCACAAGGTCTGGGCCCCCCTCCCTCCCGGGCCCGCCCTTGCTCTACCTAGTCCGCTGACAGTGATGCAGGACTGAATGTGGTGTGTATAGTGGAAGTGAATTAGAATGTGTGTAATGGATGTAGTGTTTGTGTGTATTAGATACTGTTTGTGCAGTGAATTCAGAGTGTGTGTTTGTGTAGAGGATGCAGTGTGTGTAGTGAACGCAGAGTGTGTTTGAGTAGTGGATGTAGTGTGTGTACAGTGATGTAGTGTGTGAGTGTGTAGTGGATGTAGTGTTTGTATGTACTAGATGAAATGTGTTTAGTGGATGCAGTGTCTGTAGTGGCTGTAGTGTGTGTATTAGACGCAGTGTCTGTGTATAGTGAATGCAGAGTGTTTCAATTTGTGGTGGATGTAGTGTGTGTACTGTGAATGCAGGATGTTTGTGTAGTGGATGCTGTGTGTACAGTTAATGCAGAGTGTATGTTAGTGTAGTGAATGCAGAGTGTGTGTCAGTATAGTGAATCCAGAGTGTGTGCATAGTTTAGTGAATGCAGAAGGTGTGTTAGTGTGTAGTAAAAGCAGAGTGTGTCAGTGTAACGAATGTAGTGTGTGTGTTAGTGCTGTGAATGCAGAGTGTGTGTAAATGTGTAGTGAATGCAGAGTGTGTGTTAATATGTAGTGAATGCAGAGAGTGTGTTAGTGTGTAGCGGATGCAGAGTGTGTGTGTTAGTGTAGTGAATGCAGAGTGTTAATGTGTAGTGAATGCAGAGAGTGTGTTAGTGTGTAGGGGATGCAGAGTGTGTGTTAGTGTAGTGAATGCAGAGAGTGTGTTAGTGTGTAGCGGATGCAGAGTGTGTGTTAGTGTAGTGAATGCAGAGTGTTAATGTGTAGTGAATGCAGAGAGTGTGTTAGTGTGTAGCGGATACAGAGTGTGTGTTAGTGTAGCGGATGCAGAGTGTGTGTTAGTGTAGTGAATGCAGAGTGTGTTAATGTGTAGTGAATGCAGAGTGTGTGTCAGTGTAGGGGATGCAGTGAGTGTGTTAGTGTGTAGTGTATGCAGAGTGTATGCTGTATTAGTGTATGCAGTGTGTGTATTGTATTAGTGTATTAGTGTATGCAGTGTGTGTGTTAGTGTATGCAGTGTGTTGTATTAGTGTATGCAGAGTGTGTGTTGTGTTAGTGTATGCAGCGTGTGTGTTGTGTCAGTGTATGCAGTGTGTGTGTTGTTTTAGTGTATGCAGAGTGTTTCTGGTGTTAGTGTATGCAGAGAGTGTGTTGTGTTAGTGTATGCAGTGTGTGTTGTGTTTGTGTATGCAGAGTGTGTATTGTGTCAGTGTATGCAGTGTGTGTTGTATTAGTGTATGCAGTGTGTGTTGTGTAGCGGATGCAGAGTGTTAATGTGTAGTGAATGCAGAGTGTGTGTCAGTGTATGCAGTGTGTTGTATTAGTGTATGCAGTGTGTTGTATTAGTGTATGCAGAGTGTGTGTTGTGTTAGTGTATGCAGCGTGTGTGTTGTGTCAGTGTATGCAGTGTGTGTTGTGTTAGTGTATGCAGAGTGTTTTTGGTGTTAGTGTATGCAGAGAGTGTGTTGTGTTAGTGTATGCAGTGTGTGTTGTGTTTGTGTATGCAGAGTGTGTGTTGTGTCAGTGTATGCAGTGTGTGTGTTGTATTAGTGTATGCAGTGTATGTTGTGTAGCGGATGCAGAGTGTGTGTTAGTGTAGTGAATGCAGAGTGTTAATGTGTAGTGAATGCAGAGAGTGTGTTAGTGTGTAGCGGATGCAGAGTGTGTGTTAGTGTAGCGAATGCAGAGTGTGTTAATGTGTAGTGAATGCAGAGTGTATGTCAGTGTAGGGGATGCAGTGAGTGTGTTAGTGTGTAGTGTATGCAGAGAGTATGCTGTATTAGTGTATGCAGTGTGTGTATTGTATTAGTGTATGCAGTGTGAGTGTTGTATTAGTGTATGCAGTGTGTGTGTTAGTGTATGCAGTGTTTTGTATTAGTGTATGCAGAGTGTGTGTTGTGTTAGTGTATGCAGTGTGTATGTTGTGTCAGTGTATGCAGTGTGCGTGTTGTGTTAGTGTATGCAGAGTGTTTCTGGTGTTAGTGTATGCAGAGAGTGTGTTGTGTTAGTGTATGCAGTGTGTGTTGTGTTAGTGTATGCAGAGTGTGTGTTGTGTCAGTGTATGCAGTGTGTGTTGTGTTAGTGTATTCAGAATGTGTGTTGTGTTAGTGTATGCAGTGTGTGTGTTGTGTTAGTATATGCAGAGTGTGTGTTGTGTCAGTGTATGCAGTATGTGTTGTATTAGTGTGTGTTGTGTTAGTGTATGCAGAGTGTATGTTGTGTTAGTGTATGTAGTGTGTGTTGTGTCAGTGTATGCTGTGTGTGTTGTGTTAGTGTATGCAGTGTGTGTTGTGTTAGTGTATGCAGTGTGTGTTGTATTAGTGTATGCAGTGTGTGTGTTAGTGTATGC